ACACCTTGAAGTAAGTCCATCACCTCTGCTCTCAATGAGTTCCCCACTTCTATTGGCCCCAAAAACATAGCCACAATTCTGCCATTTTCATCTTTGAATACTCCCCCTATACCTGAAGGACCTGGGTTACCTCTAGATCTCCCATCAAAGTTCAGTTTCATTCTTTGCTGTGTTGGTGGGGACTGGGGACCACAACTCCTGCCCAATAGGTTATATGGAGGCTGTAGTTGCCACCACTCCCCAATTCCTGTAAACATCTTTAGCTGAAAAGTCTTTAAATAGATCCAAAGTTTTTAACCATTGATTGGTCATAATGGTTATTCTTTCTACAATTTCCTCCTTGGATTTCTCCATTCCTTTGAAGATTCTATTGTTTTTTTCTTTCTAGACTGACCATAGGATAGCTTCTCTTGTGGCCCTCTGCATTATTCTTCCACGCCTCTTTGGTTACTTGAAAAAGCTTGGGTCAAAAAAGGCTTACCACGTTGAGGGGAGGTGTCCATATGCAACCAAAGATAGAAGAGAACCATGTCCAAAGAAAGCACACAAATGGATAAGAAATTAATGGGTGTGTGATCGTCTCACTAGAACCCAAGTAGAGGCTACAAACATGAGGTGATAGGCACAAATTTGGCCTTTTTCTTTGCAACATATCTAGAGTATTGATTTTTTGGAGAACCACCACCTTCCAACAAAAAGCCCGGATTTTTGGAGGTATAGGTCGACACCAAACCTCCTTTGAAGGAAAATTTCTTGCAGGGTTTGTTGACTGAATGAGGACATCAAAGGAGGAGCAAGTAAACACACCAGATGGGGAAGGTTTCCAAATTCTACTGTCTAAACAAGATTGATCCAGATAGGTTGACCCTAAAAGGTTAACTAATTCATCCACCATTATCATTTCTGACTCCCTTAGACCTCTCCTCATACCCAGGTCCTAAGAATTATCAATAAAAACTGAAGAGATCACTCCTTTTGTTTTTTGACAATGAATAAATAGTAGGGAACCTATCACTAAGGGGACTCTCTCCAACCCAAACATCTTCCCAAAACAACACTTTGTTTCCTGCACAAACATCAAATTTAACATAAGGAAGGCAATATTACCATGGATAGCTTTCCAAGGAGGCAATAATTGTCAACACATTTTTCTGCTTGCTGCCAAGAAATCTCCATAGGATTATATTGATATAGAGCTTATAAATATTCTGAACTCTTTTTTCTACTTAGGTTATTATTCTTCTTATGCTTGCTACTGAATTTCTTATGATGTCCATGAAGTTAACGACATAGAGCTAACTCCTAGCCTACTTGAACTATTCATAAGTTGGCATGACAAAGTGATTTTTACAGTTATGGCCAAGAGTGAAAAACTATAGAAGGTGTATATGGCCAAGAGTGAAGAAAAAAGAAAGAAAAGAAAACCCGAAACTAGTAGAAAGTGCTAATGTCACATGCAAAATATACTCCAAGATTCAGATGATCTTTGACCTTGAATCATGCTTTTTGTACCAAGAAACACCATACAAACAACAAATCAAAAGAACCCTTTTTTTCTTACAAGTAATAAAATTTTATTAATATGAAAAGAAGTACATGTATATTGTATAATCTCAAACCAAAATGGCAATATCCCCTCTCCAACACCACTACTTCATACAGATTTTCCCTCCTTCCTCCTCTTGCTCTGTGTCATGCTTCTATTAGAAACAAAAGCTATCTCCAGAACCATCCTCTTAGCCTTGGCCACCTTCCTCTGATTTTCATTGTCCTTTGCCTCTAATGATACCAAGCAATACCAAATCCCTTATCAAAAGATCATCGACAGCATCCTCAGACATTCTTCTGCAACTGTTGCTGGGTTCATATCCACTTCCTTCAGATTTGTATCCCTCTTCCTCCAATTCTCTAAAGGTAGCCTAGATAAAGGCCTTTCCTCCCAATTAGGCCTGCCAATGATACTCGTAAACCTGCGACCCGATTCGGTAATCTTGGATTTGGATGAGGTAAATGTCATATCTGATCGGATTTGGACGGCAGAAGTAGACCCCAATTAAAAATCGGATCGAACTCGGATTCACCCCATCCGATCCGATAAAAATCCGAGTCCAATATATTTATAAATATAAATATATTTTATATTATATACTTTTATACATTAATGGAATAGATAAAATTTCTTAGGGTAAATGAGGAAATCTGTTCCTCAAACCCCTAGTTGGCCAGCCCTAAAATCCTAAACCCTCATCAACACTTCAACAGTTGGCATTTTCTTCTCACTTCTCTCTTGTCGTCGCCTAACTCACCTTGTCATTTGCCAAGTTGCTGCCGTTCTCTCCTCTCTCAACTCTCACTCTCTGCAACAACCAAGTTGTCGTCGCCGTTCTTTTCTCGCCTAGGTTTTCTTCTTGACCATAGAGCTCTCATGTACCGTTTTCTTCTTGACCATAGGTTTTCATTTGTTCTGAATAAATTATAGATTATTTCAAAATTTTTGAAATAAAAATTTAAATTTTATAGATTACAGAATTGTTTCGAAACTTTTGAGTAAAAATTACTGATTATAGATTTTGTTTTAATGATATTACATTCAGCAATTGTGACCATTCAACTGCTGAAATAGATAGCTTCAGTTGGAGTCAGATTAAAATCCAAAATCTGAAAAATCCGATCGGATTTGAACTAAGATTCCCTGGACATAATCCGATCGGATTTCAGATCAGAGTCGGATACAGCCAACAGCATGTCGAATCGATCTCGGATTTAGATAAATCCGATCTGGTGGCAGGCCTACTCCCAATAAAAATAATCCTTGGGATTTTGCCACTTGCACCTCATGACTTATTATTACCTGGCCTAGCAGCAATGAATCCTTAAAGCCACTTGTTACCAGAACTCTTAAAATAATAGGACTTTTAACTTGAATAACCCACAAAACAGTGAGTTTTTTCACATATGTTGTCTGTATTTTGTCCATATACTCATTTCATGTTCAGATTGTGTGATTTTGGGTTTGTTGAATTGGTAATCAAATGACCTTTCTAATGAAACCAAAAATCAAGCTGAACAGTAAAGTTTTCAACATCAAACTCGAGTAATGAAAGTGACAGGCTTGAGAATTTCTCTTTCAAGATATGTATTGAATTCTAATCCCCAAGCAACAGAACTATAAACTGTTAACCCCTCCCTGCAACAAAGCATCAATAGTCATTGATAAAAATGTAACTTAATAAATTAATAAATGGATTTACTTTGATGGCCCAAAAAAACGTTATTGATAAGCATGAGATATTGTTATGAAGGGAGGAGGATGTGAAGAGGCACCAAGTAGAGGAAGCTGATAAACACCTTATTTCGCCAATGAATCTGCATTCTATCAGCTTTCCTGCAAGTGCATTGTTTTTTTTTTTTTTTGACATTAACAGATTTATTTAATAAAGATCAAGAACCAGGGTACATAAGTTGATGTACGGCAAAACAAAAAAGAAAAATTCCTCAGAAACTACAGGGCACAGTCACTATACAAAAATTCCTTATGAACACCGGATTTAGCAAGCTCATCTGCCAATGAGTGTAACTCCCTAGAGGTCCAACAGATTTTTACATTCATCAGAGCCAAAATGTCCCTAGCCTTGTCCAAGTAGTGCGCTAGCTTCCAAGGACCACCTTCCTTATCCTTTATCTATTTTATAGTGTTTGTAGAATCTTTCTCTATGTTCAGGGGAGAAATATCCAAGTTCTTAACTATTTGAAGACCTGTTGAGGCAGCCATATCCTCAGCCTTTGGGGAATCGGCAATTCCAATTGGGCCACTGAAAGCCCAACAAATACTTTCATCTCTCCTCTTGATTACACATCCTATTCCGGTCTCACCTGGATTACTTGCAGCACTTCCATCAAAGTTTATCCCATCTCTATCTCCTCCCTAGTTTGAGGTCCCCGAGTGGAGGCTAGAGTCAAAGGGAAGGAATGTGAAATCTCAACCAAATTCCTTTACAAGTCAGACAGGGAAATACCTTTGAGGACCATAGTATTTACCAGCCAAAGGTTATATGGGAGATCAGATGTTCAATAGATCTGGCTTTGCCTTCAAGGATATGTTTGCTTCTTTCCTCCCACACTCCCCACATTACAGCATGAGTCAACATGCACCAAAAAATTTTCCCTGTCTTGCCCTATCCAATCCCATGCTATTGCCAAAGAAACTCCTTCACATGCCTAGGGCCAAGGCAGTTGTATCCAACAAGGTTGTGAAAATAATGCCAAATTTTCCTAGTCTCCAATCAGTGGAGAAGGAGATGATATGCAGATTCACCATCACAAAAGCACAATTTGCAAACAGAAGGAGAAATATATAATCTGCCACTGTTTTTTTTTCTGTCTGAATCAGGTCACAGGTGTTTATTCTCTCCAAACAAGCCTCCCACATGAAAAGAGAAAATCTCAAAGGGGTCTGGGGACTCCAAAATTCTCTTGTATGAGAACGAGGAACCTTTCTCTCTGAGAGAGTGGAAAAGATTTGTAATTTCAGCAATCTCCACTTCCCTTGGGGGTCTTTTAAAACTAAGGTTCCAGTTGATCCCAAGGGGAGAAGAGGAAGAACAAGCTGAAATGGTGGCATCTTGGAGTTGGGATAGACAAAATAAATGAGGGTAAGAAATAGTCAGAACACTCTATCCCCACCTAAGTGTGGGGAGATGTAGATCTCTCTTGGTTTGTACATATTTCTGTAAAGCTATCAGTATCCATGAATTTTATGAGCTAATGATATCAGAAGTTCTAAGTAAATACGTGTGACAATAAATTGGTTTTCAACCCTATTTGTCCTCTTTCAAATTTAATGGATGTGTTATTATTTTCTTTATACTAGTTTGCTACAATGTTCTTAGAAGGGTGTATTATCATTACTTAAATTCATATTACCAAGGTGATTCCTTTTTTTGGTGCTTTAAGAATTCAAAGTCAATACTACAAGTATGTAAATATTCAATTCCTTTCAGGGCTGTACTGCTACAGTGCTTTTGGTCTGGGCTGATGGTCATGAAGAATTCTTTGCACAGTGTGCAAATGTTGGGGATTCAGCTTGTGTTGTAAAGTATGTGCCTATTATTATCTCTCATTTACAATAACTTGGTACATTGGTGAACCTTTACATCTTGGAGTTCATGGTTTGATCAAATTGTAGGTAGACATCTTATGGATGTCACTTAAAACCTCATCCTATGTTGATGAGATCCTAATTGCTGGTTCCCTTGTTTGCTAGCCTTCTTGTACATCCAATATTCTTCATGAGGAACTTGTTTTAGAAGACCATTTGTTTTTCATTGAATGCCATCGCCTGTCAAAAAACTGTTTTCTTATGATTCAAACTGTTGGAAGCTAGCTTAAGGTGGTAGCACTTTATCCTGGTGGAACTCATAAAATCTCAAAGTTGGGAAATTATATTCATCTTAACTAATAATATAAATTGAGAGAAATAAGGATGGTGCATTTATGGTTAGTCTCCTCTGAAACCATTGAGTTTGGATTGGTATTTTGGCATTTATAGGCACTTTCTTTGGCAGATCAAACCATTTGTAGGGGATCTGCAATGGGGGTACCCTTGGGATCATGATCCAATTACAAGTTGGTTGGAAATTGGAGGCATATAGCCCAATAAACTGATCCATTTGATGGATCTAAGAAAGATAGGTAGGCAATAGGCATGATATATTCTTCCCTTTAGCACAAAAAGAGACGAATTAGGGGAATGAAAACTATTATGTATTGAAGGCTGAAGCACTTAAGTGGAAATCATTCTTTGCCGGTTTGTTTGCTCCTTTGGCCTATTGTACATGCCTCTTAGATTAACTCCCTAAAGTGTCTTTGGAATTAGAATTACAGGATATTTGATCATCATTGTTATAACTGTACAGTATTCTCCAAAATGCTGTCATCATGAATTAAAATATTCCATTTGTGGCAGTGTTGGTGGGAAGCAAATCAAAATGACAGAAGACCACAGAATAACCAGTCATTCTGAACGAACCCGCTTTAAAGAAACAGGAGAACCATTGAAAGATGGTGAAACACGCCTGTGTGGTAATGTTTCATTTTCTTTTATGTAATGTAGCAATTGGTTTGTTGATAATCTGTTAATCCTGTAATTTTGGTTCCTTTATTCAGGTTTGAACCTTGCCCGGATGCTTGGTGACAAATTCTTGAAAGAACAGGATCCCCGCTTTAGTTCGGAACCTTATGTCAGCCAAGTTGTACATATACAAAAAGCAAGCAATGCATTTGCACTGTTGGCAAGGTGATTCTGCTTCCGATTGATAGTTTCTCATTGTGCTTTTTCTGGTATTAGGATGTCAGGATATATAAAAAAAACTATGAAGGAATGGACCTGGTTTTCCGTCTCCTTTTAACCGTTTAATGAAATCTTGAGTAGGAAGTTGGGTGTAAATATGTGATGAATAAATTAATAAATATGAAAAAGTTATTGAGTTTCAAGGTAGGACAGTTCCAATGTATATTTTTATATATCATGTAAGCTTTCGTTGTTAGCTTCAGATTTATTGCATGACACCTCGTAGTTATTAAAAGAAAACCTATGAGAAAAAGGAGTATATTTTCTTCTACAATCAAGTATGATATAATCGTGATGTTATTGCAATTCCTGCAACTCTGCAGTGATGGCTTATGGGATGTCATCAGCATTAAGAAGGCAATGCAGCTTGTCCATCAGGTACGTAGTTATTCTTGCTCAGTTTTGCCAATGCCTTAGAAATAGAAATATTTGGTGGTTGTAGTCTGACGAATTCATCGTGTGTGCAAATTGCACAGGTGAGGGATAGGTATGCTGCAGATGGAGAAAACCTGGCTGAAAAAATTGCCAATTTCATGTTGGATGAGGCAAGAAGTTTGAGGACAAAGGATAATACATCCATAATTTTCTTGAACTTTGACACAATTAGTAGAACTGAATGTAAAATTTGTTTTTAAATTAACAAAGGTTCATTTCACCATTCTTACTTGATCTAGGAAAATTTTGCTGCCCTTTAGGCCCTTTTCTTTTCGTTTTCTCCATTTACAACCATATATACAAGTATATAACCATGGGATCTGGCTAGGCATTCAAAACGAATACTAAGATCATGGTGTGCCTTGTAGATGAAACTTCAGGAGGAAGCGAGTTATATCCATTTGTTCTCCCATAGTAGTGAACCATTGAGGAAAGCAGCAAGATTGATTGATTGGGTGTGCTACTAAGCCGCCTCAACTTGGACAAAGATTCCAAAGTCTGAATATTATGCAGATGCTAGTGGTTTTAACGTCAACCCAGAAACGAAATCATTGTTATGTCCACCAGGCAGATCAATGATTCGAGTTCAATACTTCAATTTAATAAAAATGTATAAAATCAATATTTTAAAACCGTCGTTGATCTTGACAGTTGAACCATTCAAACTGGAAATAGGTCCCAACTCTGGTTCTGTTTACCTTGGAACTCGGCCTTATATAAAAACTATTGAATTAGTCAAATAATCATTGAGGCATTGACCCAGGCATTTTAACGTCCAACTTCTCGGCCCGGACAACAGTTTGTGTTCTAACAATAAGCATCGATTTTTCTTTTTTGTTTTCATTTTTCTCTTCGAATCTTCTAGAATCCAGAGCAACGAGTCTTCAGTATGACCCTAAAACCACATTGTTCTATTGGCGACGTTTCTTCTTGCCTCACTGTCATGGGGGTAGTTCTACAGCGGAAGAAACCCGTGTGGCGTCTAGGTCAAGTTAGGCCAGGCCAAGCCTTTGTGTGCTTAGAGGATAGGAGTTGTCCGATGGGATGGCTCCACCAAAGTCAGTAGCATTGGACCATGACCTCAAGTCCAATGGTCGGGGCACTCTGCTGGCTCAGACTAGTCCATGGGAAGTGTCGTTACGTGCTAAAGGGGGACGATCATAATGCAAGGCGACTGTGCGTTGGAGAGGTGACTGGGCACCAATGTGATGGGTCTCTTGTATGCCGATGATGATGGGCACCTGTGTGCCATGTTGATAGGCAACTGCTTGGGTCGGAACACACCCGTGCGCTAGAGGCAACGAGGTAGTTTACTCAGCTTGGGCAAGGGGCTAGCGTGGTGAAGGTCATGCTTGAGCCAGGCTCGCATGCCAAGCCTCCCTTGAGTGTCGGCAGCGGAGTGCCGGTCCAACACTGTCCCCATGAGCATGTGTGCACCCATAAGGAACCCTGGTAGTCATGCTAGCCATTAACCAAGGCCGCCCCGCAAGGGATGAAGGTCTAGGAGTGCCAAGGTTAGGCATCCAAGGAGGTCGACCACCCCTCCTCAAAGAGTACATTAAGCTTTTGGTAGTCTGCCTGAAGATAACATCAATTCTCCTAAAAATCTTACGGGCAAAAATGACGGTGATGTCCCTAACGTAAATCTGCCAAGCGTAGGCAAGATTAAACCTGTGTCAGACCGTAACATCCTTTGTTAGCCTTTTCGATGCAGTGGTGACCGATGACCTCTTGGGTAGATCCCTTCCGGTAGTAACTGATAAGTGATTTCCAATCGGAATATCCCCTCAAATTTCCTCATTCTATTGAATGCTACCATGAGTATTTTATTTTCTGCAATACCCTGGTTATTGGGCCCGACTATCGATTTAACTCATGTTATTTGGTGCAAAAGTTTTGGTAGCTCTAAGCATTTTCTCTAGGTTCCAAGTGTTCATCGTGTGAAATACTATCCTAAATTCAAAACTAAGATCTGCCATAGATGTACTATTGGATAACTCTTTTCCCATCTTGGACCTGTTCTTTGAAATGATTTTTTTGTGCCTTGTATGTTTTTTGAATGCTTCAAACTCCGAAAGGAATATTAATGGATTTTCAGAACAAGACAGAATTAAACAGAGAACACTTGAGAAAGCAAAAAATAGAAATCATATCAAATAATTCGTAGAATAGGATTAATTTTTAATATTTATATTGTCTGTTTTATGATGTCACAGGTTGACCAATTTGACCTGGGTGGATGAACCGCTGACCCGGAGGCAAAAGTGGTTCTGTTTGAGTACTTTTTAAAGCATTGTATAAAATAGATAAAATTTATATTTATACTATAAAAGAGTAAATACCCCTTTTTCTGGAATTTTCATTGGACGTTTTCTACCCCCTTTGTCTAAGCATACAGTGGGTATTAAGAGGACATATATGCCCTTTACACTCCGGAAATTGTTCCCTTATAACTGTTCAGAAGCTACCACTTATAATTGTTCAAAAACTACCTACTAAGAAAATGGCTACAAAAGGTGTTGTTAAAGGGATTGCTATCATCACCATCAGCAACAATGTCAGAGGTTCTATTTAGTTTGTCCAAGTACCTAACGGTCTCTATTTTCCTCCCTTCCGTCACTCACCTCTCTCTTTGTTTTGTGTTTCTTAGCTTGTGGTTTTTAATATATGGGGGCTACCCATGTCAAAGGAAAGATCACAAGCCTCTCACAAGATTTTACTGGTGATACCACCAATGACTGAATTTTACTGGCGGGTCCTTTGTGTTTCTATGTTGATCAGGATTGAATTTTGAAAATTTGATGGTTACCCATTTCTTTACTTGATCTTATGATTTTGGTTTAATTGGTTATTTTTTAATCAACATTAAATCGTTGATGCTTACCTATTTCTTTGTTGGTTTTATTCTCCTGGTTTGGTTAGTGCACATGGTTTTTTGTGTTTCATTTCGTCTTCTTCCCATATTGAAAGCCCTCATTTGTATCCAATAAACAAGGATAATGAGCCTTATCTATTAATTAAGCTCAGATTTTGATGTTGCAAGGCTTCAATTGAACTCAGTAAAGAAGGATTGTTGAGATCCTTCTCTATTTATTAAGCTTCAATTTGGGATGTTTCCTATCCCCCTTGTTTAAGCATACAACGGGCATAAAGAGGGCATATATGTCCTTTGCTCTCACTTCAGAAACTATTCACTGATAACCATTTAGAAATTGTCCACTTATAACCATTTAGAAATTGCCCATGAATTATAAATAATTTTGTCTTAGAGATACTGTCACGTGTACACGTGTGCTAGTTATAGAAAATAGGAAAAATGATTTAGGAAATTGACTAACTCTATTTTTACTATTTCAATATTGTCTTAAAGTACCCCTACTGTTTTTGAAAATTATCGCTATCATTAAATCGTAACGAAGGCGCATGAAAAGTCACTTTTACCCTTATATTAATAAAGGGCGTCAAATAATAAATCGTAACATAATGGGCATCTTTTGAATCGTTCCAATCGGGAACGACAACTGGCCTTTGTCGTCTGCTATCACTGAAGAGGCCGCTGGTGAGTGTTGGATTCCATTAGGCTTGCGATAAAATAGGAGAGGGTTTTGAGTCATTATGAGGAGGAGCATGCCTTGGCGTTCTCTTCAGCCTGTTCTCTCTCTTCTCTCCTCTCTCTCTAGAATGGAAAAGAAACAACAGTAGAAACTTTGATGGATCAGTGAGAATTGCATAGGGAAATGTTTGTTCGGGACCGTCAGTCTCACAACAAGGAGTCCGACGGTCGCCTTTTCGCAATGAAGTCCGTCAACCCGAATTCGTCCATCCCTTCTTAACTCGAAGGGATGAGCTGCTACAGAGAAGAGAGATACATATGACAGAGATTTAAAAGTGTCGTCTCTAGTGAAGGTTGCAACGACAGTTCTAGCAAGGTCTCCAACGACATCGAAGAGTAGTCCATGAGGGATGTTGTTTATTGTTGCGCGATCTGACTACTCCTACTTGGAGGGCGATCTGTTTTCCAATCGAGCAGTGAGCTGGATCTATCTACAAGATAGTGGATTAGAGAACTCGGGGTGGCTAACCCGGCGAGGTTGCTTCGATGCTTAAGTTAGTGTACTGTAATGCGAGCTGAATACTTTTGAGAGTTTGAGAGCTTGAGAGCTAGAGAGTAGAGTAATCACGCGTACCTTTGCTTTGAGGTTCCTGTCTTTATATACTAGAGTTGTCGTGGGTCTCATGAAAGAGCTCCGAGATCTCCGGGTGTGGAGATAGGGTTCGTTCCGCTTCCGAAGGAGTAGTATGTAGATAAGGCTTATCGTTCCACTTCCGACTCTAGCGGAGCCGGGATGAGTTCTCATTGTTACCTCAAAAAAAGTCACCCTCTAGCTGGGAGTAGTCAGATCATGCAACAATAATTGGTGCTGTCTATGGGAAACGATCGAAAGGTCATACCCATTCTTCACAGTTACTAACCTTGATTTCTACATCAATGGCATCTTCTAGTCATACCGAGAAAAGCAGCGAGATGAACGTCTCCAAGGGACAACCCCAACCCCCTACAGTGTGCATCGGCTAGTTCACCATTCTGCTTATTGCGTCTGGAGTTCCAACGTTGACCGCACCACCAAACACCACACAGGTGAGCGCTCCACTTCCCCCAGTGGTAGGTGCAACTTTTTTTGAAACTTCTGTGGTTCCCCCCGGAGTCGGGTAGTCCCAGTTCAACGACCTGGTTCAGTGCGTCCGGGCTATCCAGATTTAGATGTAGATAGATCCAGCTCGCTGCTCGATTGGAAGCCAGATCGCCCTCCAGTTGGTAGTCAGATCGCACAACAACACTATTGAAGGGATGGACATAAAGATTCTCGTCGGCCGAAACATCACTGTCAACCAGGCACAATTCAAAGGAACTGGTGGTGGGGGCTGAGGATTTCACAGTGGTGGTAGTGGTTATGGTGGTGGCGGCGGCTACGATGGTCACTGTTGTTACTACCCATACCCTCAGCGATTTGGATCAAACCTTCCTCATTAGACCTCTCTCTCCCTTTCTTTCTTTTTCTCTCTCCCCTTATATTCTTCTTCAACCTGCAACTCACCTCCCCTGTTTTTCCTCCCCTACTAGTGTCGTTGTATGCTGGGTTGGTCGGAGTTGGCCCTATTAGCTGTGGCTTCATCTGGGTTAGAAGGTTGAGTCATGCAACTGAAACTCGGCATGATATTCCTCTCTTGGTGTTTTGCAAACCCTAGTTTTTCTTCTTATTAGAGAGATGTTCAGGAATTTGCAGTTTATGCAACAACCATCTTAACTGTTCCGGTGTCGGGAACAATGTTTTCCTTTTTATTAGTTTTTATATTCCTTTGCACCTAAGAATAT